TGAGTGAGCTGGGCCATGAGGTTGTTCTTGGCTGGGGGGAATGGTCCTGCTCTCTGGGAATTGGCCTGCCTGCATCGTGGGGTGAGATGGCTCAGCCTTGTAATGTCCTGCTGCCCATAGCCCTGGCTGTACCACGCTTCACTGGACTTGATTAACTGGCGCCGCACCTCAGCGCCAGAGCCAGTGACCTTGGTGGGGAGGAGGCCCGCGTACGCCCCTTGGTGCCAGTCACTGCCAGCCCACTATCCCTGAAGGTGCCCACTGGGCAAGGGTCTGGGGGCCTGGGGCACATTCCCAGCCTCCCACACTTCTGCCCCCTCTTCCTCTGTCCAGCCCATACCTGCTGATGCTCAGAAATCCGTCCTTTCCTGTGTCCAGGTGCTCACTGCCCTCGTGGGCAGGTCTAGCCCAGTGTGTGCCCAGCCCCTGGTCAGAGCCCCTCTGGAGAGCAGAGGCTGCCATGTGGTCACTTCCCCAGGAAAGAGACATGGACAGATCCCAGGTGCTCAACACCTGCCATCACTGGTGGGAGGAGACCCCCTTCACTCTAGAGAGAGCATTTTGAGTGCCAGCCCATGCCAAATGCTAGGTTGGACACCAGGCAGGTGGAAGGAACCAGATGTGGTCCCTGGCTCTGGAGCGGCTTTCAAGGGCAGGGAGGGAATCTCAAGGGCTGATGGGAGCGTGACAGAGGCAACAGTACAGGGAGGTGTAAGTGGGGGGTCTCCGAACGCCGCACAGAGAAAAAGGAGCCAATGAGGGGCAGCATGGGTAGGGGACCATGGTCTGAGGGGCCTTTTCCTGGGTGGGATGGGGGCCACTGGGGTTGCTGGGGAAGGATAAGGTTAGTGTGGGGGACTCTCCCACAGGATGGAAAGGGGATTGAAGGAAAGGAGGTTGCAGGTCAGGGAATGAGGCCTGAATGGGAGTGCACGTGGTGAAGAAAAGGGGAGAGCGGAGCAGAAGCTGGGGGGCCCCCCCGCAGACCCAACCTCTCTTTTAGTCACCCCTAGCTGCCCACCCCTCCTGTCTCTGCCAGGCAACACCACTGAGTTAGAAGATCAGTTCCCACCTGTAACTTTCCTGCTGCTCATGGGAGACAACAGTGCTTAAGCCCCAAGATACTTCTAGGGACCCATCAAACGCTGTCATAAAATTTCAGATCAGGGAAAAAACAAAAGGAATGAATTTTTAGTCATAGAAAAATGTATTAATACATAATATAAATATATTTGTCTTTATGCCAACAAAGTCATAAAATACGATTTTTAATTAATTAATTATTATTTTTTTAATGGTGAAAGGAGTCCAGAAAGGCAAAAGTGCCTGGGCCCAGGGTGGTGAGCGCCCTGCACACACAACCTCATCTACTCCTTACCCTGAGAAGAGTCACTGTTATTGACCCATTTTACAGATGAGGAAACTGAGCTTCTCAGAACGCAAATCTGCACATGTTCTATTCTATGCTCAGCTTTCTGGTTAAACACCTGGCACTATAGGATAAGCACTTGACTTTGAACCACAAGGTTGGCGGTTTGAGCCTACTAGCTGCTCTGGCTGAGCTTTGGTGGTGGTGGTTATGTGCCGTGGAGTCGGTTCCGACTCATAGCGACCCCATATAGGGTTTCTGAGGCTGTAAATCTTTACGGGAGCAGAAAGCCTCATCTTTCTCCCGCAGAATCGATGGTAGTTTCGAACTTCTGACTGTCAGGTTAGCAGCCCAACTCATAACCACTATGCTACCAGAGCTCCTTTACAGCCTCGGAAACCCTATACAGGGTCACTATGAGTCGGAACAGACTTGACAGCATATAACAATAATAAAGTTCCCGACAGCCCTGGTGGCACAGTGGTAAAGCTCTTGGCAAAAGCTAGAGTGGTTTGAACTTACCACGGCTTTTGCAGGAGAAAACCCAACCCAACTCAAACAAGCCCAGTGCCATGAAGTGGGTTCCCAGTCATACTGGCCCTAGGGAACAGAGCAGAACCGCTCCTTAGGGTTTCTGGGATTGTAAATCTTCCTGAGTGCAGACAGCTTCCTCTTTCTCCTGTGGAGTGAGTGGCTGGTGGGTTTGAACTGCCGACTTTGCGATT